TTGGGGTCTATTTGGTGCCCCTTCTTGGGAAACTACCAAAGCTCGCATGGTATCCTTCTTGAGACATCGCTGCAAACGTGAACTCCGGCTCCAGCCTCCAGAGCCTTCAGCATTAGACCCTACAAGGCAAGTCAAACCCCAAACTGCAGCATTAGCAGCCTCAGCCGTTTTAGTTCTGCTGCTAGGCCCCTGGTGATTGCCCTAACTGAGGCATGTCCTTGCCTCCTTAGATCCCGCAAGTCCCTGGAACCGCAGCTCAATCAGGCATCAGGTCAGTGGCCGGATGCGATCGGGTTGTTCCTGGAGATGCTGCAAGTGGGGACCCTGTAGCTGAAGCAGTGGTCAACTTTCATACGGGGTGTCCCTAAAGAGTCCTTATGAAGTCATTGCTTGAACACGCGATTTTCTTCGGTTGTCTCTATGTATCGCTGAGGTCCAGAAGGGGCCTTTACGAGTAGGTACAGCTGCGAGCTTCAGTCTTAGGCTTCGGGTATTGCTCAAGTTTCTCAGGGTCAGAGTGTTGGCCATGTGCCGGCTTTCACGCCTTCCAACGTTGGAGCTGCGCATGCCTTAGTGTGACACATGTCGTGAACCCAAGCTTTAGACTCTTGCATCGCAAGCCCCCAGACCCCTGTAGCCTCAACACGGCCAAATCCCTCACCCAAGGACAGCCCGCGACCGTGAAAGCTACAATGCTGCCATGAGCGCTGGGGCCGAGGGGCAGTGCCTTCCTGAGAGGATGTTAGGATTCCTGAGAGGATGTTATATTCAGTTTGCCAATCAAAGTCGATGTTATGGAAGTCAGGGTGCGTGTTCGCGTTTGTCGCGTGTCATTTGAATATGAGGATGCCCTACATGAATGCTGCACTATCTCTGCCATGTCATGTTCTAGAAGGCAGAATCTACAGTCAGCAAGTGAGGCGGTGACCCTCCCTTGAACAGATCCCGCCGGGTGCTACTGGTGATGATTCTGATCTACAAGTATTTGGCCCTCAGCCCTGAGCCCTGAGTTCAGGCAGTGGCAGTTCACCATGCAACTCTTCAGCGGAATGCATGAAGCGAACTTCCCACCGGATGCGCGCCCTGGCGAGAAAGGCAAAAAGGGCTGACAACCAGGATTGCAATATCTGGGATCTATTTGGCCCCCCCCCTATCTATGGAAACTCCCGCAAACTTTCAAAGGTACAGCTACAGCACCGCCTGCGCCGCTAGCGCTGCTGCCCAGCAGTGGGAGTTGGCTGTCTACCTCTTCCAGTCCATGCCGCTCGGTTTAGGTTCTCTTCCCAATAAGTATGGAAACTAAGGACGCATTTTCTTGCCAAGGCTCCTGTCAAGAGGACTGAATCACGCAGCCCTATGCAAACCTTGGAGGCCCGCAGCCGCAGTCCGCGCTGACACGATCTGCTACAGCACTGCCATGCTGGCTTACCAGATCCCTGGCACACTCTTGAGGAGTCCCTTTTCTCTAAAGTACCACCCCCATGTTAAGAATATTGGGGGCTGCGGGGGTTTTGTCTGCGTTGTCAGCAACAGGGGCAGTTGGCGTGTGTTGGCGTTGTCCGCCGTATGCTTGTACCTGCAGAAAAGCAGTTCGGTGGCGAGGAAGAAGTTCTTTTGACAGGGCATGCTTGCCCAGAGTACGTAAGTATAAGTTGGGCAGCTGAACGTATATATTCGTACCATGGATTCTTTCGCCAGCGAAACCAAAGGCCATTGTGATAGGCCCTAGACTGTAAGGCCTGAATCCTGAATCCCGAGCTTTTCAAGCATTCAGCTTGTAACCTCCATCTCCTGAAACAAAGCCTCATGCTTCCCCCCCCGGGCAAAATTTCTCGTCCTAAGTCACAAACCCTAAGCCCCTAAGCACCATATCACAAGGACGGGGGCACAGTGGCAGTCGGCGCTACATCTATGCGAGGTGCCTTCGGGTCCGGCTGTTTAAAGTTTAGGGTTGGATGGTAGCTAGGAGTATCTAGGGATAAACAGGGCCTAAGGGTATGTTACGAGGTATCGGAATAATGGAAAACAAAATGGAAACTAGCTATATATTAAAGGGATTCATGATTGCGGGGCTTTGCGCAACTTCATGTGTTCTAGCAGAGTCCAGATACAAAAGTTGTCATAAGAAGCTTCTGGATTAGGAGCTTAGCGTTCAGACCCAAAACCCAAAACTCTAAAC